CCCAGGGGTATAACCGGCTCCAATATGTGCTAAATGTTAGTTTCTAAATAATGTCAAAATCGTAGTCATATCCTTAATTTAGCATCAGATTTTAGTTATTTGGAAAATTCTTCCTTTTTATATATAACTCTTTAACTTTATTGTTTAGGTTTCTTATTACTTTATTAATATAGTGATTTGTTTTATACATTTTATCTTTTTATTAGTTATTATTATATTTTCAAATTTTCATAATTTGAAATAATCAAATAAAAACATTCTTCAACATATGATTTTTGAAAATATATAGCTGTAGAAATAAAATTTTAATATATGTTAATAACTTTATTTGTATAAAATATGCCATGGTTAACAAATTTGAACATTTTTGATGGTAGATAATAATTTATTTAAATGAAAGCATTTTAAAGAAATAAATAGATTAATTTACAAATTTAATATAACTTTATCATATTTAATTTATATAATAATTTTATTTTAGTAGAGTATATACTATAATTATAAATTTATAAAAATAGAAATATTTTTATTTTTTGGGTTAATAATAAAATTTAATTATATAATTATACTAATATTATATTATTTAATTACGAAATTAGTTAATGCATAATTTAATAAAAAAATATTTCAAAAGTTTAGTAGGATTTTATTTGATTTTTTCTCAATAGATTTCTTTATAACTAAAAATATAATTTAGATTAATAGTTAAAGTTAATTTATTTTTGATATTCTTATTGATTATTATGTCCTATTATGCAATTAATGAAATGGATCTAGTAAAAATTTTTAATAGTAGATAAAAGTAGTACTTCTATTAAAAGATGGATATTTCTAGTGAAACAACTTGCTGTAATTATCACTCAAATAATTTAATGAGAGTAAATAATGTAGACTATAGAAGAAAAACTATGTGATCTAACATCTAAAAGAAAATAAAGTGGAGAAATCAATTTACCAAACTAACTATATTCTAAGAATCAAGATGCAAACGTCGTCAAAGATGTTATATCAACTGAAGCCGAGAACAAGCAATAGACGAGGATGACCAACCATAATACGAGAAACTGATCTAACAATCTAACACAAATCTAAGAAAACATACAGCGAACATGATTGTTTACGTTATAAGAAATTTGAATTGTCTATTCAAAAACGTAATATTTGTTTCTCTCTCTAAGCATTACATGAGTTGAATCTATCAACAATAGTCATAATCTATATATAACATGGAGTCACAAGTCACTATTCAGTCTAGTAATCGCATATGCCGTTTCTTAGAAATACTCCTATAATTTTCTGTAATAGTAACTCAATGTGCTACTTAGCCTTAGCAACAAACTAAAAACTTGAGGATTATGATAAACTATGATGAAGAACTTCTAAATCTACCACCTATTAAAGAACACTACATTTCCTATTAACAGAATTAGAACTTTAGATAGAAGAGAACATCAGAGCGAGCGTTTTGAGTAATAAAAGAAAGGCTAAAACCATTCAAGATTCAATAAAACTATCATCACAAGCAGCATGATACATACAAGCACCAAAGTAACAATGTAAACACAAAATTAAATACACATTCTCATGAAGGGATATATTATAAATCAGTTACTAGAATACTAAAGATGGATATATTATCATGAATGGATATATTATCAAATCAGTTTCTAGAATCCTACAGATACTACTAAATCACAAATTGTTGATAAGAATATGAAAATAGTTCTTTAAGATACATTTCTGATTCTTAAATGGTATTTTCTTATAAGTTTATATCACTTAGTGTTTTCAAGGATTAACAAGCAATAATTTCTACACTCTCACGAATACTAAACCAATGACAGAAATGTTGCCTAGACTCAGAGACCCAGGGATAGACTCAAGTCAGCATATACAATTATAGAATCTAATACATCTACTTTAGCCTACATACTATGCAGAGTTGTGGTAAAGTCATTTCACATGTTTATAGTGTTCACTGAGGGTTAAGCCTATAACATAAAACATAAACATTCACGATTCAAGGAAACTACGACCACATTCTGCAAGAGTCTATTACCTACTTTGATCACTAGTTTCGAATAATAGCATTTTCTAATCAACATACAGATTACTACGCAGTTTACAATGATCATTGAGAGTAAGAGGGGCATAACACAAACATATAACATTCAAAATTCAAGGATACTACTCAAACAATCTATAGGAATTTTGCCGGTTGATCTACAAGAGACTAAAATATGCCCAATTCATAAAACGAGAGACCTTAAAATACATGAAAGCACCAACTAAAAAGATACTAACACCGTTATAATTATCACTGAGGCTTAAGAGCATAACACTAAACAGAAACATTCATCACGATTCAGAAAAAAAACTAATACAAAAACATGATGGAATCTCTCACATATGTTGATCTACCAGAGAATCCAAGATACATCAATTTCATAAAATGAGAGACCTACAATACATACAACCACCAAATAAAGAGATTTTAACTTGATGAAGTTTATATTATTTCCTTTCTCTTTTTCTTTTTGATTTTCAGTACAGATTGGATAAATAATTTTGGCATACGATAAAAACGTACCCAATTGTTTCTCATACCACATTTGTAGCAAAAAAAATTTGTTTGCCTTTTATCATTCCGACCACTTTTATTTCCGTGGAAATCTTTATTTCTCTTATCACAGGGACGGAATCTTCTTCCTCGTCCTCTTCCATGACCACATTTCTATTGCAACCACACCCTTGTCCCTTCTAATAGGACGTACATGATGATTTCTTATCATGATGAGTTTTTTTTTTCAGTTTATACGTAGAGTTTACATCAGCTCCAACTATTTTGTGAATCGTTTCTTTCAAGAATTTACTTTGCCTTTTTGGATTTAACTTTCTTTTCTTTCAAGGATTTAACATTCTTATTTTCAAGAATTTATTTTTCCTTTCTTTCAAGCTTTCAACTTTCCTTTCTTTCAAGGATTTAATTTTTGTTTATTTCAAAAATTTAATTTTTATTTCTTTCAAAGAATTAATTACTCAAAGATCTCAAGATATTTTCTCATGATAAATCTTATCTTAAACCTTCATTAGAGTGGTGTAAAATATCATGGTTTTATTTTTTTTATTTTTTATCCGATATAATTTATATTGATGATTCTAAAAGCTCATTTTCTCTCAGATACATCTCTGCACCCACTGCCCAAGTCACATAATTATTTCTTGTATTACGAAGGACATTTATTTTGAATTTTTCCAAATTCGACATGATGATTATATTTATATAATAAATATAAATATAAAATATATTATAAAGACGAAAATTTAAATGCATAATTTAAATGCAGAAAGTAAATGCATAAATTAAATTGTAGAAATTTAAAGAGCATAAATTAAATTGGAGACTTAGCCTTCCACATGATCCGAGGAGACATAGTCTACCATATTGATCATTTTTATCAAGGTTCGAGGAGACATAGTATGTCATGTTAACCTTTTCTTTTTATTCAAGGTCTGAAGAGGTTTAATATACCATTTTTGAGCTTTTTATTTTTTATTCAATATCAGAAGGTGACATAGTCATTCATTTTGATCTTTCTTTTATTTACGGAGGCAAACCTTACTACGTGTTTCTCTGATCGTGGTAAGACATAGCTTTTTAATAATCCGATGTGACATAGTCATTCATTTTGATTTTTTATTTTTATTCAAGATCCGAAGCATTTTGATCTTACTTTTATTCACGGAGGCAAACTTACCACGGGTTTCTTTGATCGTGAAGACATAGCTTTTTAACAATTAGTTGGGGAAAACAACGCCTATCATCCCGAGAAATAAATAGAGAAAACATAACCTCTCACTCCAAAACAATAATAAAGTTTTGATAACAAAAATTATTAAAACCATAAATTAAACATTATCTCACTGATATAACCTTGTTTATAATAGGATCAGAGCTTTGTGTTGATAACGTGTTGTAAATTATTAGCTCAGATGTATACTTTTATATATATATATATATATGTTGTTTGTGTGAGAAATCACGTTAGAGAGAGGAACTAATGAACTTCTGATTATTATTTTCATTTCACAAACTTTCTATTTATAGGAGACGAAACAATAGACACACAATGACAATGACAAACACAATATTAGTCATGAGACAAGTGTCTTCATGAGATGGATAATTATTATCTACCATAAGCTGTTTTTTTAATGAGAAAGGACTTAAAAACAACTAAGCTGTTGTATGTTGTTGAGAGGCAGTGAACTGTCAGTGACGGTATCAGAAGCTTTGTCTCCTTCAGAATCTTTGTCTTCTTCGGAGTCTCAAACGAAAAGGGGACGAAGGGGAAGGTCGAGGAAAAATTCAGAAGATTTTAATAAGGAAGAATCTGAAGTTACAAAGATGAAAAGGTTGAGATTAGTAACTGAGTGAACAAAGAAGAAAGTTAGAAATAGCATTAGTACTGTGGAAGAAGGGCAAAAGTGGAAACATGAAGACTTAGTGAGTGAGGAGGAGAAGCCAGAAACGAAGGTGAAAGCAGTAGTTGCACCACCTTCACGTTCGAGGAGGAAGAACACACCGGTAAAGAGCTAGTATCAATAGAAAAAGAAAAATCCATTTGGTTCATAATTTCTTGGATCAGATAGAACAAGTTTTGCCAACCAGTGTTTAACTAATTCTAAAGAGTTAAAAATTAATAGTTTCATAATAACGTTGGATAGGGTTTTAGTTGTAGTAGATTTGTTTAATGTTTGGTTTGTGGTAGTTGATATTAACGTCACTTTTGGATATTTATGATACCAAAAATGCATCATACATGATGAACAGANAATATAAATGAACAAAAGAGGGGCTAATCAAACAAATAGAAACGCATACAAAAAGAAAAACCATAGAGAGGGTAACTGCAAATGAGTTCACACTTATTAAGAAAGAAGCTCAAATGTCTAAAACAAAGACAACATAGCACCAGATGAGTAAGAGATCAAGTCCATCAAACAAGATCATCGAATGACAGAGGAGTTCTGATGGCTGACAACTTTTTCTTCTGCTCCTCTGCAAGAGCATCAAGCTCTTCGAACTTTCTCTTCAGACTCAGAACTTTTTCCTCAGTTTCTTGGAGCGTGGCCAAATCTGAAAGCTCTTTCATCTTTTTCGCTTTCATTTGATCCAGATTCTTCTCCAGCCAATCAACCTTAAATCCTGCATCTTTCACATATTTCAGTGCAATGCCTGCTTCAACAAGATCTTCATTGGATAGTTCTTGAAGTGATTGGCACAAAGTCTCAATCAACCCAAGAAGGGAACTCATGCATGCGCTCCTTAGATGTTGGTTCTTTGCATGAAACTCATCTGCAATGTCAGGGTGCTTTTCAAATATACGCTTCAAAGAGTCTACCTGTGAATGGAGGAGAAAGACATGAAAAATGTATATGAGGTAGGTGATCAGGAAAACAAAAGTAGTATAATTAAACTGATAAAAAAAAACAAATGATCATGAGAATAACATTAACGCTTCACAGATTCTACCTACGCGTGGAGACAGACAAAAAAAGCTTAGTATTCTTTAGTGATCAGAATAAGTAAAGTATTAGACTTGTCAGAATAACAAGACGCATACACCATCAAAAACTCTCTTACCTGTGAAGGAAAAACTTGAAATCCATTGACATTAATGCTTCCCATTATTGTTGAAGTCAGAGGTTTGGTCACTGGTACATCGTCAAGAACACCAACCCCAACAACAGTCGTAACTTCATCATTTACTAGGAATCCACCATCTTTGTCATGAAACTTTGAAAATAAAAACACAGTTGTAAAAGAATGCACCATAGTCGACGGATAAAAGCAGTGCATTCCTTCTGCAACATTCATTTCAATGGTTAATTTCACAGGCATTATAAGTAAATGGAATGCAGTGGAATATATAGCAGTTATATTGAATAAATACAATCACTTCTTGAGTATGATACCTACAGTGACCAATTGATCTAGAAGGAGAATCCACTAGTGATTGAATTTAGTAAAAACTACCTCTTATTATGGAAAGCTCTCCGGAAAGTTGATTCACTATAATTAGGCGATACTTAACATATCTTGTTTGTTCAATAGGCAAAGCTAGACCGTAAGTAATTTTCACAGTCAAGTCCTCTAGACTTACTCCACTTCGAACAGCTCCAATGAAACTGCCAATAAACACAAAATAAATGAATCATTACAATATAAATGAACAAAAGAGTGGGGTTAAGGCTTAAGTGTTGCGCTTACCAGTTGTCGCCACTAGTACCAATCTCATGAATATCACTAGAATAAGGGGTTTTAGATTGCAAAGAGGAAAAGTTCTTTATCACCCAAGTAAACTTTGTCCCACCTAACTTGGCCATCGTTCTGGAGACGTTCCTCGCAATTTTAAAACAACAAGAGCATTATGAGAACCCCTTACAGCATAGCTAAACACAGACAATCAAAACGAAATCTATAGAAGATTGCAGTTTTACTAAGATTTAAACAGAAGACTCTGAGCCATTACAGCCCTCTAACTAGAAAGATTACCCTTCAGAGTAGTGTTTAGGGAGAGAACAAACACTGCAGCAGAACTTAAAGAACGTTCTTGTTTTAAATAGAAGAAAAAAAAAACAGGAATGCAAAACGTCTTTTATTATGTCGAGAAGGAAATTAAATCGCTCGTGCTCCTCATCTATTAGTATTAGTTTAAATTAAAGTATTGCTTAGGGAATCTGAACTGGGCAAGAGTAACTATTGGTGCATGCTAGTACAGAAGGTTCCTATACCATATCACGGTTAACCATGTATGATTTAACCTTATTTTGAATATAT